CATCATCATCCATCCATCCATCATCCATCCATCATCCATCCATCATCCATCCATCCATTCATCCATCCATCCATCATTCATCCATCCATCCATCATCCATCCATCCATCCATTCATCCATCATCCATCCATTATCCATCCATCCATTCATCCATCATCATCCATCATCCATCCATCCATCATCCATCCATCATCCATCCATCCATTCATCCATCATCATCCATCCATCCATCCATCATCCATCCATCATCCATCCATCCATCATCCATCCATCATCCATCCTCCATCCATCCTCCATCCATCCATCATCCATCCATCATTCATCCATCATCCATCCATCATCCATCCATCCATTCATCCATCATCATCCATCATCCATCCATCCATCATCCATCCATCATCCATCCATCCATCCATCATCCATCCATCATCCATCCATCCATCCATCCATTCATCCATCATCCATCCAACCATCATTCATCCATCCATCCATCCATCCATCATCCATACATCCAACCATCATCCATCCATCCATCCATCATCCATCCATCCATCCATCATCCATCCATCCAACCATCATCCATCCATCCATCATCATCCATCATCCATCCATTATCCATCCATCCATCATCCATCATCATCCATCATCCATCCATCCATCATCCATCCATCATCCATCCATCCATTCATCCATCATCATCCATCCATCCATCCATCATCCATCCATCATCCATCCATCCATCATCCATCCATCATCCATCATCCATCCATCCTCCATCCATCCATCATCCATCCATCATCATCTGTCATCCATCCATCATCCATCCATCCATCCATCCATCATCATCCATCATCCATCCATCCATCATCCATCCATCATCCATCCATCCATCCATCATCCATCCATCATCCATCCATCCATCCATCCATTCATCCATCATCCATCCAACCATCATCATCCATCCATCCATCCATCCATCATCCATACATCCATCCATCATCCATCCATCCATCCATCATCATCCATCCATCCATCCATCATCCATCATCCATCCATCCATCCATCCATTCCATCATCCATCCATCCATCCATCCATCCATCCATCATCATCCATCCATCCATCCATCCAATCCATCCATCATCATCCATCCATCCAACCATCATCCATCCATCCATCATCCATCCATCCAACCATCATCCATCCATCCATCATCCATCATCCATCCAACCATCCATCCATCCATCCATCCATCCATCCATCATCCATCATCCATCCATCATCCATCCATCCATCCATCCATCCATCCATCATCCATCCATCATCCATCCATCCAACCATCATCCATCCATCCATCATCCATCCATCCATCCATCCATCATCCATCCATCCATCCATCATCCATCCATCCATCATCCATCCATCCAACCATCATCCATCCATCCATCCATCATCCATCCATCCATCATCCATCCATCCATCCATCATCCAACCATCCATCCATCCATCATCCATCCATCCATCCATCATCCACCATCATCCATCATCCATCCATCCAACCATCATCCACCCAACCATCATCCATCCATCCAACCATCATCCATCCATCCATCATCCATCCATCATCCATCCATCCATCATCCATCCACCCAACCATCATCCATCCATCCAACCATCATCCATCCATCCATCATCCATCCATCCATCATCCATCCATCCATCCAACCATCATCCATCCATCCAACCATCATCCATCCATCCATCCATCATTCATCCATCCAACCATCATCCATCCATCATCCATCCATCCATCATCCATCCATCATCCATCCATCCATCATCCATCCATCCATCCATCCATCATCCATCCATCATCCATCCATCATCCATCCATCCATCATCCATCATCCATCCATCCATCATCCATCCATCATCCATCCATCCATCATCCATCCATCCATCCATCCATCATCCATCCATCCATCCATCATCCATCCATCATCCATCCATCCATCATCCATCCATCATCCATCCATCCATCATCCATCCATCCATCCATCATCCATCCATCCATCCATCCATCCATCCATCCATCATCCATCCATCATCCATCCATCCATCCATCATCCATCCATCCATCATCCATCCATCCATCATCCATCCATCATCCATCCATCATCCATCCATCATCCATCCATCCATCATCCATCCATCCATCATCCATCCATCCATCCATCATCCATCCATCCATCCATCCATCCATCATCCATCCATCATCCATCCATCCATCCATCCATCATCCATCCATCCATCATCCATCATCCATCCATCATCCATCCATCATCCATCCAACCATCCATCATCCATCCATCCATCCATCATCCATCCATCCATCCATCATCCATCATCCATCCATCCATCATCCATCCATCATCCATCCATCATCCATCCAACCATCCATCATCCATCCATCATCCATCCATCATAATGGAATGTCTCTCTCCCTCTCTCTCTCTCTTTCCCAGCAGCTGTTATTTTTTCCCTCCAGTTTTGGACCCTAACAGGAAGTTGTCATGGAAGCGGATCCGTTCGTAGTCGTCTTCCATCTCATCTGAGCCGACTTGCTTGTTAAATCATTGTGTCATTCTCCCTGCTTCATTGGCCAGATGGTTGCCGTGGTAGCAGGGGTAAACAAACAAGTCCGACACCATGGTATACCGCCAAATATTTACAGCAGACGCCACCCGTCTCCCTCATAGCAACGGCTCTGCTTCATGACGCTGTTTTTGTTTCTCTGGATTCGCTGAAGGCAGCAGCGATGATGTCATCCAGCACACATGCACACACACGCCGCGCTCCCAGGATCGGCAGCCGGAAGCATCCTGGGAACGTTTGCATATCAGAGGCTGCTGCAGAAAAGTTCAGATTATCTGGCGTGCCGATAGAGACCCCCTCCCTGCCGTTATCAGTCAGGAGACGCGGCCTCCGTCCCAATATTTGATTAAAGCCACTTCCTTCTGGCGCCAAATCAAAGCTGCCTGCCAGAGATGCTATTTCAATCCACAGGTGGATCTGCAGCAGCCGCCCTCTGATAAGGTTTATCAGAAGGTTTATGATGCGCCGCCATCAGTCACCGCAGACGCCATGTTCTGATGCTGGGACTTCCTGCACAGCTCGCTGAGCGCCTCTTGTTCTCAGAATCATTTTGCTTTGTCATCCTGGAGAATCTCCTCACTGCCCCGGTTCTCTGTCCCGCTCACTAATGGCACCTCTACCGTGCAGGATGCTGGAAGCGTCTTTGCTCTGGGTGGAAATGAGACGCGCTAACGAAGCAAACAGCATTTAAAGCATTTTAATTAAACGTCCCTCGGGGTGAGGGATTGCTGCAGAGTCAATGATGCAATCAGCTGGAGTTCCTTGATAGAAAATAATCTGAGGGGATTATCTCCCAGGTGAGGTGCTGTAGAAATAAACTTTGCTTTTTAATTTTGTCAAATCTCTTTGGTCTGAATGTGATTCATAAAATGCAACAAGAAAACAATTCCATAAAAAATTTATTTGAAAATTATGAAAAACTGGAGCAAATTTTTGGAAATTTTAAATCTGAAAAAATTCGATCTTAAAACCTTTTTTTTTTTTTTCCAAATTTCAATGAACAAAAATGTTTCTTTGCTTCCAGTTTCTGGTGTCAGAAGGATGGCAGCGCAGCGCGGCCTGCATAATGTTTGGTGGAGGGAGGATCATGATTTGGGACTGTTGGTCTTTGCCCCCTCATGGCGTGTTCAGAACGCTGGCTGTGCTAAACGCCACGGACTCTGTATGCTGAGAGCTTTCTCTGCTCCTCCTTCACCTCCTGCTGCGAGCTACAGCTGAGGAGTCACCGTATGGAGAGAGGAGCGGTGATCGCTGTAAACAGCCGAACTTTTCTAGGAAATCGCGACACGGCGGCCAATCATGGAACCGAATGGAGGAGAAGCTTTTCCACTTTAGATGGAATCCAGAGGTAGAAATAAGGAATGCTCTGCAGAGGACTGATCATCCTCCCTGACCTCCAGCACAGAGCCGGTCTGTCACTGCCTGCTGCCCAGCATCAGGGCTTCCTGAGGGGGGGACATCTACCAGGAAGTCCCCCTGAATCAGAGCTGCGTCTGGATGAACCAAAGCGGATCTTCTGATGCTTTTATAAGGAGCAGTTTAGCAGCAGTCCGTGATGTTAAAGCTATACTGCAGGATTATTGCACATTTTTGAAAAGCCCCGCCCCCTACAGGTTAAAAACATGCACAGCCCTGTACCTCCCAAGAGGGAACGCCGATTAAACGCCTGCGAGAGCGTGCACGAGCCCATGCCTCCTCGTGCACGCTCTGTTTAAAAGTTACTGATTTTTCCACCATCAGACTCACCAGCGGTCAGTGAAAATGGGGACGTGCACGTAAACGCATCACCAGCATGATTGACAGTTAGGACGACCACTGATTGAGATGATCCACCTGGAAAAACACCATCCTCCACTATTGCTTTAAGTTTCACCTGTGCTTTTATTGTGAAATGCTGACAGGAAATGATGAGTGGTTGCCAGGGGTAACAGTAGGTCCAAAGCAGATGGTCTGGGTGGTTAGAGATATTAAACAATAGTTCCACTAAATAAGGTCACTGTTAGATTTAGGAATGATGTAATAAGTTTATATCAGGAAACGAGCGCAGCGCTAACGTCTGCTGGGATGGTGATGTCATTAAATATTATTCTATATGAAAAACTAAATCACACTTTCACCTTATATTTATTTAATTTTTCTAAATAACTTAAAATGAACAAAGCTGCACTAAAGCAGCTCTAACCAGTCAGAGGAGCTGAAGCTCCTCCTACTTGATGATGCGTTCCAGGATGTGTCTGAAAAGCAGCTGCTGGAGGAAATCGCCGCCTCCGGTCGGATCGCATCATTAAAGCTCTGATCTGCAGATCTATAAACTCCGCAGCTGATCAACGCGACTCGAAGGCTTAAAGTCAGAAAACGAACCAATAAACCGAACCGAAGGAACCGCAACTGGCTGGGAGACGCTCGCTGCAACGCGCTTTTAATCTGAAAACACGTTACATCACTACCAGCCCTGGTTCAGAACTAGTCCATGCATCTGTTCCTTCAAGGCTGGACTATTGTAGTTCTTTACTATCAGGAAGTCCACAAACTGTAGTTAAAAGCCTTCAGCTGATCCAAAATGCTGCAGCCAGAGTCCTGATCGTATCTCTGCTGTGGGCTGAGTGGGACTCACCATGCCGTGGTTCAACCACTGAGGGATGAAGTTATCCAGCAGCTTAGGGTAGACCAGCTCTCTGTCGTAGAGGTAGAGAATCCAGAATGTGAACACAACAAACTGGAAAAGAAAAACACTCAAAGTCAGAAACCAGAGAAAATTCTACGAATCAGATGCAGGAGAAACTGTCCGTAAAGTTCTAGTAATATTTTAATAACAACTATAATAATCATTTTAGGTTTCTGTGCAGATTTTATGTCGGAAACTATTCTAACTTTCTAAGATCAGCAGTTCTTTAATAACCAAAACATCAAAGGTTCACATCAACTTTTTCCAGTTAGGATTTAAAAATTAAGACAAACAGAAGGACGGAGCCAGGGGCGGATCTAGGGGCAGGGGCTCCTCTGAACTGATAACACATAAAACAGACCAATTCTCCAGATAGAGAAATGTTAATAGAATAGACATCCATTATCTGTTCTAGGTTGTGTCCCTCTCTTCTTGTCCCTTTTCTTCTTGTTTTCCTCTCTATGTTTTGTACTCAGCTGACTTTTCATGCTGTCTCTAAAGGAATGAATGATTTTTTCCAAGCACTAAGCTCACTTAGCTGATTGCTCCTTCCTGTGTTTCCAAAAAGGCCAAAGTAAATAACCCAGTCCTTCTTTTCACTGTAGACAAGCCATGATCTGCTTATCTGTTCTCCATGTTTCATTTGGATGAAATAATAGCTGCATGAATCATGACAGCAGACAAGATAGAGGAGAGCAGGAGGCGGGGTTACCAATCTACTCGCTCTGGAGAGCAGAGTTCGCTGCTTTTAGATGTTGTCTCCAAAGTCTCCAGTAGCAGAAAAAAGTCTCTAGATTTGGCGCTAGGAGCTTTTTAGAAATCAAAGTGCTAGAGGGGTCTGAAAAGTGGCTAAATATAGCGACTAAAGCGCTAAGTTGGCAACACTGCTCTTTGCATGGTTTGTTGTTTTGATGGCATTTTAGCCATACATGTAATCCAAGTTTTATGGGGCCCCCAGGAACTCGGGGCCCTTATCACCTGATGGTAAATCCTTCGCTAACGGCGGAAATATTCTCAGCTAAACAACAGAAACCAAACTTCCCTCAAAGGAAAGGAAGCTAGCCTCCCCTGTTAGCCACATAGCTAGTGATGTAGACAGATGGTCACCATGGTAACATGTCAACGTGACGCCTTCATCCATCAGCTAACAGATTATTTAACCTGCTATAAACGGCGTGCAGGCTTTATGCTGCTGACCATCTTGGATCATGTGACCCGGTTTATCCCTTCATCCCGTTTTCTTGATGAACATGATGAGTCGTTCAAAGGTCAGACATCTAATCATTGTTTTATGGTGAACTTAATATATTTATGGAGCCATCAGATGTTTAACACGTGACCTCTGACCCCTGCAGCTATGCAACAATTTCCAAATGTCACTAAGGGTCATTGGCAGAATCTAAGTTAAAGGGGAGGAGCCCCACTGAGTGGCGGCCCGATCTGGGCGTGTCCTCACCGCTCCGACGGGGAACGCCAGCACAGCCATCATCCAGTCCCTCAGGCCGATCAGCTTCTTCAGCTGCCGCTCCTGCTCCCTGCTGTCGGCTCCTTTGGTCAGCAGGCTGGACACGTCGATCAGGACGCACAGGCCGAAAAACACGGCCTGGATCACCTGCAGGCGGAAGCAGACGGATCAGGATTCACCATCCGGCTCTGAAGCCGCAGCAGCTCCTGGTGTGGGGAGCATCATCAGATCTAGTCAGAGCATCTTCCTCACATCAAGGATGCACGCGGCACCAGTGGAGAGAAAAACTACCTGTGAGCAGAACCAGAATCAGTTTGAGGGCTTCTGCTGAGGCCGACTGAAAAGACAGAAAGGAGCCTGGAAGCACATGGATCCTTTCTGTTAACTATGTGTACTTGTGCGTCCTCGTGTCCCTGTGAAACGTCACCATCCTCAGCCCTACTACTGGCCCCTCCCTCTTTACCCAGCATGCATCAGAGCAGACCTGTCCGTCCTCCAGACTGACAGCTGTCCCAGCATGCACTGCAGCAGCAGCAGCTTCCAGGTTAGCGCTCAGAGGATTAAGTTAAAAGTTCTCGTTTCTGTTGTTCTATAAAAGAACATTTTAAGAACCTTAATAGCAGCCAGGGCTAACGTTATCTGACTGTTAATCATTATTCCTCCACATAATTTATTATTCTCTATATTCTATTAATAACAGGAAGTGAAAAGCAGCCCCAGACTAGCTTTGAATGTGGTGATGTCATCAGTACGCTGCCGTTCTCCCCGAGTCCAGACTGTCCTGGGTTCTAGTCAGGAACAGACTTGGAGAGAACAGCTGATGAACCATTAGACGCGACAAACGGATGAAATTGGTAGAAAAACATTAAATTTTAGCTATGACAAAAAAAACAAGCAAGAACACAAAGTTAAAAGTTAACAAATATTTTAAAGTTGGTGAAAAGAAGCATAATGTTGAAAATCAGAAAAAGGGGTCCCTATGTCCTCCAGCAGTCTAAGCCTATAGCAGCAGAACTATAGAGATAGATCAGGATAACCTGAGCCACTCTAACTAGAAGCTTTATCAAAAAGGAAAGTTTTAAGCCTAGCCTTAAAAGTAGACAGGGTGTCTGCCTCACGGACTAAAACTGGTAGTTGGTTCCACAGGAGAGGAGCCTGATAACTAAGAGATCTGCCTCCCATTCTACTTTTAGAAGTTCTAGGAACCACTAGTAAACCTGCAGATTGAGAGCGAAGTGCTCTGTTAGGAACATAAGGAACAATCAGATCTCTGATATCAGATGGAGCTTGGCCATTTAAGGCTTTATATGTGAGAAGGAGGATTTTAAATTCTATTCTTGATTTAACAGGAAGCCAATGAAGAGAAGCCAGGATAGGAGAGATATGATCTCTCTTTTTCATTTCCATCAGAACTCTGGCTGCAGCATTTTGGATCAGCTGAAGGCTTTTAACTACAGTTTGTGGACTTCCTGATAGTAAAGAATTACAATAGTCCAGCCTTGAAGTAACAAATGTTTGCTTCTGCTTGCATGGAGGGATCTGCATGCTAGAGGCCCCTCCCCCCACCGTTCAATCACCACCTGAAGCCTGGAGGGAAATATGGTGTGATGGGAAATCAGTCCCATTTAATCATTCTGTTTGTTCAGTTGTTACATTTTGTTAAATTGTAACTTTATTGTAAATGTAGCCCAGCCCCTAGACCTTCAGCAGGTCAGCAGAAACAGACCCAACTAGGTCCGTTTTCCTCTCCACTGTCGCTTTATGCATGATCGGTATGCTGGATTATAAAATGCAAGCTGATCCAGCGCGTCTTCATGTCAGTGACTGGATGCAATCAGCCTGCAACCTTCCTGACTGGTTTCTGTAAAGCGCCTCCAGGTGGTGATGGTGAATTGCTGCTACAGAAATAAACCAAACACAGCTGAGCATCTCAGGGTGGGAGGAGGCGGAGCTTAGATATAGAAAAAAAAAATAGGATCCAGGTGAAGTTCTGAAAGTTATCCCTGCAGGAACATAGCCTACTGACAGAGATCGCTCGCCGTCTGATCGTCAGCGAGGCGCTGTGAGCGGCCATTGTTCCCTCTGAATGGCCCCTCTGTGCCTTCAGCTTCTTTCAGGATCCTTCAGGATAACGCTGCTGATCCAGCAGCTTCTGACTGACCGCGGTACGGACCGCCTTCTGTAGTTTAACCCCCATCACCATGGTAACGGCTTCAGGAGGGAAACTCACACGCCTTCCAGGTCTGCTGGGCTTCATCCATGGAAACCATCAGGATCAGGATGTGGACCAAAACCAGGACCAGAATCAGAATCTGGACCAGGGTCAGAATTAGGATCAGAATCAGGATCAGGCCTAGAATCAGAACCAGGACCAGAATTAGGATCTGAATTAGGACCAGGGTCAGAATCTGGACCAGGATCAGGACCAGAATCAGAAGCTGGACCAGGATCAGGACCAGAGTCAGGATCTGAATTAGGACCAGAATCAGAATCTGGACCAGAATCTGGACCAGGATCAGGACCAGAGTCAGGATCTGAACCAGGACCAGGTTCAAACGGCTTCATAAATCAAAGCGCGCCACCTGTCAGAGGCGCGCTCCCGCCGCCTCTGACAGGTGGCGTTACAAAGTCCACCTGTTCCGGTTCCGTCACAGCCTGAACCACATTTCAGAGCCTCTCTCTGCGGCTCCGGTCCCCCCTCCCCCCCTGTTTCTGCCGAACAAAGCGCGGCGCAGAGCGGAACCCGAGCCGCGCGGCTGCGGCGCACTGCGCATGCGTGCAGGACAACAAAGGCCGACAGAGGCGTGACCAACCAGGTCGATGAAGGTGAGGAACTTCCAGCTGCCTCCGTAGGTCTGGTGCGCCGGCATGTCCAGAGCTTTGTAGTGACACAGGATGGAGAAGTAGGAGAGCAAGATGGCGGCCCGGAGGACCTGAGAGGGGATGAGCGCCATGATGCTCCACCTGTCTGCGTCCGCTCCGTCTCCCAGCGCCTCCCTGCTCCTCTGGCTCTGCACTGCTTCCGTGTTATGATGACGAGGGTGATGATGTCAGGGGGAGGGGCTTAGGATGAAGGCTGCTGGATAAACGCTGTGATGCTTCTGTTCTTTCAAAGGATTCATAATCATTAAAGCTTTAATAAATGAGTTTAGTTCATTAAATGTAAATATTTTTATTATCACTGATTTATTACTAAATAAAATCTGCATAGATGATAAATATTATGTTGTTTTCTTTCTATTTAGCCCATTTTATTCTGGTACCTCAAATAAAATCCAGTATAACCAGCAGGGACTGCCCAGACCATGTTTTCTTTCTCACTTCAACATAGATTCTAACTACTTTCTACCCGCTGATCACAGCTAATATAGCAAAGCTGCTCTCTGGCATTGAACACAGGAGCAGCAGAAGCATCTGGACTCACTTTACTGGGCTGCAGGCTACATAACTAAATTATTACTATATATATATATATATATATATATATATATATATATATATATATATATATATATATATATATATATATATATATATATATATATATATATATAGTATTGCCGTATTGTATTAGGCACCATTAAAAGCGCCACCTATAGTCCATTGGGTTTTCAGAGACATCCTGGGATGGAAAGTGTCTCCATGTTGGCTTGTTTCCAGCATCAGTGCTCTGTAGCGCCGCCCTGCAGGTAATGAGGAGCTCTCCATGGTTCCAATCCCCAATGTTCACATCAACAGCCTGATGAACTCTGATCAACCCACTGAACTCTGGAGAAACATTTATAAACTAATAAGTTAACTTAAAATGTAAAAACTTGCCAGTGACAAACATTCTGATTATTGAAAGTACTGGAATATTCCCACATTCTGGAACTTTCTATTTGCCCACCTAAATAAATCCATCTTTTTATTCACTTTCAGCGGCTTGAACAACAACAGAAAACCCCTGATATGATTGGCTGGTTTGGGGGCGCTGTTGCTGGGGATTCCCAGGGCAACCGCTAGGCTAACACAGCTAGCCACCTGCTGCAAACTTAGCAACTTATCGCTATACTTTTCAGACTCTTCTTGTTTTTTTTTTTTTTTTTTTCAAAGAGTGACCAACAGGCGGTCAGACTCAGTGAATTTTTAGTTTTGAACATATTGAGAATGTTTTTAATCTATTTCTGTCCAACCAATGTTGATATTGCTCTTTCCATTGGCTGGTTCAGAGCATCACCAAATATGCAAACTTGGTGATGATGTCATTAAGAACGTTTTAGGAAAAATGCACCATAATTAAAAGAAGTATCATAATCCTGATGAACGGATTGTAAAGAGTTAATGTAAATGTTTTGAGCTCATTATTCCTGCTCCTCACAGCACCTCTAATCTCTCCATTGCATTTGCCACTGGACACAAGACATGGTGAGGGAGCTACTGGGTCTGTGCTGGCAGAGGAAGATCTTCCTGGAGGAGAAAGGTTCAAATCTCTGTGGAACAATCACATCAAATCTGTTCATTCCCATAAACCAACGTATGAAAAAAAAACCTCTGAAGGAACCAAAAAGAAACCTGCTGAACCAATAAATTTCCCTTTGGTTCTACTTTTCTTATACATCATTCAAAATAGGCAGAAACCCCCCCCCTCCAAACCAGTCAGGGACTATACTGGGACCAGTAAAGCTGTTTTCTTCTTCTATTCATTAATCCTTCTCTCTGCATCATCATCATCATCTGAGCTTTGGCCCATTCATGGTTATAGCATCTGAGCGCCAGCAGGGGGTGCTGTTCAGCCCCAAACAGTCAGAGGGTCCAGGAAGTGAAGGCTGGGAACCTGGTTCAGGTCCTCCTTCCTCCTCATCCAGCTGAACTTCCACACACATCCTCCTGATAGCCGATCGGACCTTTGGCCTTCACAGCGTTACGTAATACCTGGGCCACACCTTGATAAGCGAACAGGTGGGGTCCTGGGAGGGAGGGGGAGCCAGATGTGGGGAGAGGGTCCCGCTTCCTGTGTCTCTGTGGAAATGAAGGTGTGGTGGAGAAGGAGGAGTCAGTGTGAGTCAGCGTTAGTCATCAGTCAGCTGCCACAGGACGCTTTGTTACAGTTTGACTCCAGGACAAAAGCTGCCATGTTTGTTATTCTCCTCCTACCTCAGCGTCTCGGCAGGTTCGCCTTCCAGGTTGTTTTTCTTTCGCTGTTCAGCGTCTGTGAACCGTGACCTGGCAGGATTAGGAGTTCCCGTCTGAAACGTGACTCACTCACTCAGACTGTTACTTCAACACAGAACCAGATAGACAGATACAGGCTTAAAAAGGCCGAATATTTTCATCCGTTTGAGTGAGAGTCACGATGACCTTTGACCTGCTAACTGAGGCCTGTAGAGTCTGAGCTTATTTCTGAGCCTCCCGCTCTGAATCTCCTGGGAAGGTTTGCAGACGTCTGAGATCTTCATCCCTCTGCTGGACCTCAGGGGGTCTGCAGATGACCTTTGACCCTCCCAAAAACAGGACCCTGTGAGGCCAATGCTGATGTCTTTTCCTTCTCGGCTGAATAAAACAATCCTTTATTGTCCCAAAGACAGGAAATGCAGGAGCCTGTTTGATTTAGAAAATAAAAGCTGTCGATTATTATTTATTCAGGTGGGTTTTAAAAAAATATCTCCTACATTACAGACAGCTGGTGCTGAAAAAGGAAATGCTACAGCTTTGAAATAGAAGTTAGAATAATTCAGAGTTGCTTAGCAACTGATGACAGGATGATGGTCAGACCTTCAAATAGTTCCGTTTAATGTCCAGTATATAGTGATGAAGGGTCAGGGGTCAGGGGTCAGGGTGGACGCAGCCCTTGTTGACGTGCAGAAACCCAGCGTGTCGCAACGGCGCCGCCTGGTCTGTAGATGATGGTCGTCCTTCTGCAGCCTCCTGGGAACCAACACCTTCTGCCGGCAGGAGCATGAAAAGCAGATGCAAAGCGTTGAATCAGAGACTCCATCGCCATGGTGTCACGTTGCCACGGCGTCGCCATGGATGCTCTGAGGGTAACCTGTGATGATGTCACATCCTGATGATTCACCTACGAAAGGCGAGGGACGCCAATCCAC